AWTTACACAAAAACATTAAATGATTGAAACATWKAATTGAATTTACCAAGGCTGAGGGAATTCAATTAAGAGAATTTGAAAATAAACAYGAAAAAATAACTATGTAATTTATACATTTGATCACTGCAATGTCGGGACATCATGCAGAAGAACGAACGGTTTAGTCGGCTCATGATATGAAGAATCATTCAAGCATTTCCACCCGAACAAAAGAACAACATAACCTTAGTCCTTCCAACATTAAATGATTCAGTGAAACGAAAGCTTTATAGYACGGCAAATTGATTAGTAATTGCAAAACAATGCTCAGTGAAATTGACAAAGCGAAAATGACTTTATACGTGACAAATGACTAGTGTGATTTACAGCTTGACATATCTGCATAATGTACTCAATACCTRAATCAAAGATTATTACGAATGTACGACTTCTTTATTAAACGAAAAGGCAAAGATAAAAAAAAGATCGAAAAGGCATAGAATGTAGGGCCGAAGATCATGTATGAATATTTTATCAGCTGGACTCTCACCTCAGAGCGTACTTGCCCTTCTCGTTGGACTTGTAAAAATCATCAAGATCAATTGATTGTCTTGATTTCGATCCACAGCAACCCATAGTTTAACAGAATAAACTGTTAATATCCTTGTGAACTGCAATCCATATGATGTGACTTAAGTTAAAATATTAGCCATTGGATATCGAGACAAAACACATCTCTTTCCTCAGTCTGGTTTATGTTGTATTTGAAGAACATTCAAACATCCATATTACTGCGGTTAGAAAGAGAAATTCTTTAGTCATGAACGTCCTTCAATAATCAAGCTTATATATTATTAATAAAGATATAAAGCTCAATACAAATGAGTATTAATACTCAGTACTACCTAACTGTAGTTTGGTTGACAACACTTTCGGTTAYCAGCCYCCTTACMACTACCTCGAGCTGTTCGATCGTAGCCTTKCGAGCTGAAATGTCAAGGGAAAACTGTGAAARCTACGTATAGTCACACAAAGTCCATATGTCAGTAGGATAGCGACGTTTATCCATCAACTCTGATCRAAGGATTTATATATCTCGAGCTTCCTGTACCAACTTACCAACTAAAAGACTGGCACTAGGTCCACTCCCCTAATCCTCATAAAGATAAATCAAAGATATTTCACTTGAATTTGGTATCACTTCGACCAAAGGATTGTAAAAGTTTATTTATCAATTTCAAGCTTTTTATTCGAATTATTGCGCTATAAAGATTATTGAAGAAATGTAAACAAGTGCCCGCGAAAGAATATACAGCGGTTGATACCCATCAAAACAGTTTAAACCAAGATGGCGGGTAAGAAGTAAATTGAGTCCAAACGCGTTTGTATTTTTACATGATTCTACGTTRTTTTCGTATTTCAGGGATACATTCTTTAGATTTTGAAGAAAATCTTGTTGTAGGAAGGTATTTATTGATCTTGTTTATTSAAATGTGTTGTTTTTTAGTTTCCATCGCGTAACCAATATTCATGAACCACCATCTGCTGCAAAACAGTCATATTGAATTCGTATTATTACTGCTCCTGTACTTTGTGACGTGATGATTTACTAAGTGACATTTAGTTCAATATTTTATGTTGGATTTTAACTTTTAATTTGATGATCGCAGATTGATCAAGKAAGGTCGTTGAAGGATCTTACAATTTTGTTTATGTTGCTATCGAAACAATAGCTAGTCAAAGCTTGATATCTGCTTGCTTGAATATACATAAAATATGGGCTTTTTCTTTAGATCCAGTAGAGCTGACACGAAGTTTGACAAGACAATTGGACACCTTGAAGATATTATAATGGGTATTTACGCTCAAGCAAACGAATTACAGTCGCGTTTTTTAATCTTTTTTTTTTACAAAGTTATTAGCATAATTTATTTTTCAGTCATTATAACTTTTTTTATATTGACATGATAAGATGCCACAAGACGTTTTGTTCTTACCAGGATGGTTTTAGCTTCAGGCTTCCTGTGCCCTTTACTCAACAAGGTTCTTACTCAAGATCAAAATATTCCAATGTTTTACACATCTTCTGTTCTGCAGTTTGGTTCAGTCAAACAAAGGGAATTATGAAATATGCTGCTCTCAAATAATTAACCTGTATAGTAGAGGACACATGAAACCCAAACATTTATAGGCTTCAAAGGAAAACATAAGAAAATGGAAAAAAAAAACAGAAATTATTATTTTTTAATTTTATTATTATTTTATTTTTTCATTTTTTTATTTTGTATCTCTCACAGAGGAACAGTTTCAAAGCATGCTACATTCATTTATGGAGAAACATGTTCATCACTTTGAAGACACAGAAGAAAACAAATTGATATATACAGATATATTTAAAGAATATGTAAGTACAATACACCTGCTTTCAATGGTCATCATGGAGCKTTTTGTGTCTGCTATGTACTATTTTTGCATGATTCCTTATAGCAACCAACAGTGAATTCTGTAATTTGAATTTAATGTTTATCTTTTATGCAGGAAAATTTAATTGAAAAACATATTGAAAGTGAACTGAGTAAAAGAATGTCATCCTTTTCAATGCAAGACTTTCTCAAGTCAATAGAGTAAGCAAAATATTGTAAAAATATTGTATAAGACATTAATCTGCAAAAGTAGCGTTGTATCTGGTATCTATGAAAATGTCAGATAAAAACTTAAGTGATATTTCACTTTTTAAAAGCTTAACAGATGTTTATTTTGTTTTAACCAATAGAAAGAGAGTAGATCAAATTGGACCGGATATTGTTGAAATGCTAGTTAGTTTTACTGACTTCCTTGCCTTCAADCAAATGTTTCTGGATTTTAAAGCTGTAAGTACAACAATTTAAAAAGAAAGAAAGAAGACCACACATATTTAATTCATWTTAATAATATTTATTAATTTTGTTTTTGTAGAGTAAAGAAGGAACTGCASTTGACTTTAGTGACTTGATGACAGTGGTTCCATTGTCTTCAGCTACTACAACATTAGACAGCTCTGCTGATGAAGATATGCAAATTGATCCAGATTCACCTCGTGACGCTCCAAAAAGAGGACAGAATCCTCAACATAAGAGCTGAAATAAGTGGAATAGTAATTTGATGTACAAAGCAACATTTCAAAATAGAGTCTACACTTGGGTTACCTGTGTGAAACACTCATACCATTGTGGGCTACCTGYGTAAAGCACACTTGATGTGGGCTACTTGTGTTCATGTCATAATAGTTGTGATACTAGAGTGGATGACTGTGCAAAGGCACGGATCACAACACGGCATGGTCACGGAACCTTGCCTGGTAGTGATCGAACAAAATAAATCAAGAATACATCACCATCACGGCACAGTACAGACACAGCACGAAGTGCAGTATTCTTTGCACAGTCATGTGAAATCTACATCTATTGATGATATGAATTGTATTTTGTTTTATACCAGTCAACTCATTTCTAAAATTGTGATAGATTGTTGAATATCTTATACAGAATTATACATATGGAATAAGTTATGCTATATTGAGATAAATTGCACAGGTAACTTATGACTCTCACAAAGCCATCTTTATATTTTAAGAAATGACTTTGCTTTCAGAAGCACTGTATGCATGGATATACAGGACCCTGTGTGAGCTTACAGCTGTCTCAACACTTGTATATTGGACTAGACTATAATTTGCTTGTACTATATCAAAACATCAGCTTTATGACCAAATTATTCTTTGCTTCTGAAATATCTTCTTATTCTGTTTATTGTAAATATGTAAGAACATTATTTGTAATTTACCCTATGGATAATCACTATTGTATTACAGTCATACAACACGTTTTTAGAGTGATCAATAAAGATGTTCAATTATAAGTTATTTATTGTTAGTAGATTCACATTCCACATTAGAGTGCACGCCAAAAATGCATGAAACAATTCTTAACTATCAACATCTAATAAGATTTAGTTATCAACTAACTAAGAATTCACTGGGGCATGAACACAATGACAGAAAGGAAACTTGTCTTTGTTTATGCCTCACTAAATTCTTAGTTAGTTGATAACTAAATCTTATTAGGCGCTAATTACTTAAGAATTGTTTCATGCTTATGTGGCATACTGCTATATGAATGTATAATTAAGCCAGCAATGCTGCTGAGGTTTCAGATGTTCAGTTCATGAGCTCCAACTCTGCAGAGTTTTGAGATGAATCTATAGAGTATGAATGGGCTTTTTCATTGTCAAACAAAGGTGCTATTTGGTTGACAAAGCCTAACCTGGGTAATGTTGCAGCCACACCCAACCAATAGTTGGATGTCATTCTACATAGGGACATAGGGGTTGATTTTAATGTTTTTGTTGAGGATTCATACCCTCTGGAAATTCCACAAATTTTTGTCATACAACAAAGGTAGTGCTGTAATTAATCTGACTGAAATTGTTAGGAAACTGACATGGGATCGGAAGGGTGAAATCTGTCTACAATATATTCTTGGGATTCCTGTGGTTYGGTTAAAGGATCACGGGAAGTGTTGTCACCAGTCCTCCTCTGCCTTCTTGATCTTCCAAAATGGCGGCTGTGAGCGAAGAGACGACTGTTAACGAAGTTGAAAGCGAAAAAACTGCTGAAGAACTCAAGACAACGGGTGATTCTGTTGTTAAAACAGATACCAATTTAGGTAGGCATATAAATATGCATATATTGTACCGTTATGTTGCAATTAAATGTTATGATTTAACATTTAGTTTTTCGGCGTTTTCATTTCTCAAAATCACGTGGCAAGTGTAAGTTGGCAAAGTAGTAGTTGAAAAGTGTTTTCTCGTTGAATCATTGTTTTACTATTACTCGAAATGGTGGCAAAAATGTTTAGAACATTCAAGACTAGTGATCTAATAAACCAGACTACTAACTTCTACATTGCGTGATGTTCGCCTTCCTGTTCATAAATAAAGCAGTCATCTTTCAAATCATTTAAATTTAACTTATGTTCTTATCTTCTACAGAAGCTAATGAGCCGCAAACAGCAGAAGATCAGGTAAATTTACCACCCCTTGTTGCCTTTTTTTCAGTACTTTCCACAATTTTTCGTCATCATTTGTTTTACAGTGTATGAATATAGTTAAGCATGTTATGTTTGATCCATCAATCTGGTTTTATTWGTTTTGCTATTCCTTAATGACCTGGTGAGTCAGGTCTTAATGAGCCTAGTGGCCTATTATACATAATTCCCTTGTAGCCATTTGTGTAAGCAATTTAAATGCAGTTATTTACAACTTGTTAACCTTTTTTGTAAATCAATGTGATATTCAAAAAGTTGTTTTATTCTTTGCATTTAAGGCTGAAGCWACAAATGGACTGGCAAAAGATGAAAGCAAAGATGAGAGTAAAACTGAAAGTGAWCAGAAATCTGATGACAAGGCTTTGGGTGCTACAGTAGCCAAGCATTACAATGAACATCCTGAGGGAACCAAGGACAGTAGRAAGGAAAGTAGGATCTTYCACATGAGGAACTTCAACAACTGGGTTAAGAGTGTCATTATTAATGAGTTTCTTCACGAAATCAAGAGGTAATGCTGTAGTTAAATGTTTATCTTCCAGTGAGAGAGTTTTAATTACAAGGATTTTATCATCACAGGTTACATCTTTTAACTCAAATAACTACTGTCTTTCTTGTAGGTTCAATTATCGTAATATCCATGTGTTGGATCTGTGTTGTGGTAAAGGTGGGGATCTTTTGAAGTGGCAAAAAGGAAGAATTAGRAAACTTGTGTGTGCAGACATTGCTAAAGTGTCTGTAGACCAGTGTAAAGAACGTTACAAAGAGCTGAAGAAGACAGCTGAAGAAAGACGATACAGAGATCCCCTGTTTGACTCACAATTTATAGTTGCTGATTGTAGTAAGGTCTGAAAACTAGTTTATCTACTTATAACTGACATCAGTTGAATCTTATATTTGGACTTTACAATCCAGGTCAGTTAAGACCTCCTAAATACCAAACTGTCATTGATGTTGCTTATAGCGATACTCAATGTTTATCAGCAAACTCATGTTAATGTGCCAACCATGATCAGAATGGTTTTTCACAAGTAACTTTGTTCTAACAGCCAATCATCTTCTGGTTGGTACATGATTAACCAAGGCTTTTGTCACATTGAGTGTTGCTATAATTCATTTTTTTTAAATAGGAGCGACTTGCCGACAAGTACGAAGAGAAAGACTTGGTATTTGACCTGACAAGCTGCCAGTTTTCTTTCCATTATTCATTTGAGAGTTATGAGCAAGCTGACATGATGCTGAGAAATGCCTGYGAGAGACTAAAGCCTGGTGGATATTTTGTAGGAACTACAACAAATGCATATGAACTAGTGTAAGTGTTMTGTAGCTCAAYATCAGAATGTGTTTTAAAAGAACAMAGAACAKATTGAAAATTGACAAACCAATAAATGAAAATATCAGTACAGAGTTCATCTATACTAAAGAGCTTTTACAGGAATACATGTACAAGAGTCAAGATTGTTATTTAAATTGGTCATTGTGTGTATTGGAGTATTGTTATAGCTGCTATTTTCTGACTTCTTATTTCAGTAAAGGAGTCAAACAAGCAGAGGGACTAGAATTCGGGAATGATGTGTACAAAATCACATTTGAAAACAAGGATTCCTTCCCCTTGTATGGATGTAAATATGACTTCAAACTTGAAGATGTGGTTAACTGTCCAGAGTTCCTGCTATACCTCCCTGTTCTGGAAAAGTGAGTACATTTGTTAAGTTGTTTAATATTTGTTTAATAACAAACAACAGAAAAACCCTAGAAATCAGATGGAAACTGAGGCCACAGTTCTCTTTTTTTGTTTTTGTTTTTGATATTTTTTTCTATATGGTTAAGTGCTCACATCAGGAAGCATTTGAATGCCAAGTGGTAGTCTTGATTCTTTCTCTGTATTTGATGATGTAAAAGCGCAATAATTGAATCTTTCTGCTGATAGATTTAAGTCACTGATAAAACTGGCTGACATTTGCACTATAGAACTGCAGCTATTATAGGTAATTAATTCATCTAATTGTTTGATTATCTACCTTGTATAGGATGGCTAAAAAATATAGCATGAAGCTGGAATATGCCAAACCATTTCATGAATTCTTCAAGGAAAGGAGTGAGGATAACCTGGTCCTTTTATCAAGGATGAATGCTCTAGAGGTATGTCAATAAAAGAGAACATCAACTTATTCCAGGAATCTGATTTGACTTTCTTTTCCAGACATATCCTGTACGTCATGAAGGTGATAAGCTGACATCACCATCAGAGGATTCCTATAGTCATGCTAAAGATTTTCTTCAAGGCCTACAGTCTGGCAAGACTGACACTTCTACAAGTAGATATAGAGATCACAGAGAAAGGAGTCAGGACTTTGTGGTATGTGCTGTATTGCACCAAGTATCAGACCTATTGATTGCCTCATTTGATTGATTGATTGATTGATTGATTGATTGATTGATTGATTGATTGATTGACAAAGTGATTAATGTATTTGTCATTTTTATTGTAGAGGACATTGTCTAAAGAAGAATGGGAAGCTGTAGGTAAGATGCTTTATAATCTAATTAGTAAAGTGTGCTTTTCTCTGATTCATGTTAACATTTTAGAATTTTTTCTTGAAATGTAACTACATGTATCATCATCATCATCATCATCATCATCGTGCTGTTTCGCACCAAGAGGTGCATAAGGCCTTAACTACATGTATCACTTAGTATTATTTGGCAAATCTTTTTTCAGGGATGTATATAGCTTTTGCATTTGTGAAAGTAGATAAAATTGAAGATGAACCATCAAAGAAAGCAACCAGTGAGGCAACAAGTGAACCACCTAAAGATGAAGGTGAAAGCTCTGCACTAAAAGAGGCTGCACTAGAATCCAGGAAAAGAAGACATGATGATGGAGAAACAGAAGAAACATCTGATGAACCACCAGCCAAGAAAGTAGACGATAGTGAACACCCTGAAGGTCAAACAGCTGAACAAGATGGAGCTAAGCAAGATGAAACTAAAGTAGATGAAACTGAGCAAGTTAAAGTTGAATAAGATATGGCTAAAAATGTGGAATAGAATTGTACCACATTCACATTACTAAGGTTACTTTCTAATGTTTTACAACCTTGTTACCAGTTATCAACTTCTGATCCCCATGGCAACACTCATTTTATCATATTTTACATCCTTTTCTTGCGTTTGAAATAGTTTGAACTTCTTGTACAGATATTTGTATCTAATATCCAACGATGATACTGCAAAAAGATGACGATTTCAGCTATTCATGCATGTAAACTATAATGCAATCTAAACTTTCTGACTTATACAATGTTATTTTAGGGGAAATTGTCTTCAAGTGACTATATGTAGCTATAAACTGCAGGCTTTTTTAAAACTGAATGTAAACGTACCGAGTACTGCTTATTTCTTGTTAACTGTAACTTATGAAATCAGGCAACGTTTCAAAATAAAGATATAGTTTTAACTATACCTTAAGAATTGTACAATAAACCTTAAAATAAAACAATAAATCTATATGAGAGCTGTTTTATTATTGTGTTCACTAAATAACTAAAAAGCGAAAACACACTTGAACGAGGTTGTGAAATTATAGAATCATAACGGAAGCTGACTGAAACTGATGATATGGGAAGTACAGTATATTATGAATGGATATATTCTGCTTTTGATTGCAAGAATGGTATTAATTTACAAATGCATATGAGTAATGCATGTCTCTATCCTTCCTGCCTCGGATATAAAGTAGACTTCGGCACGGTATTCATAACACGAACACGACATGGTACGGTCACGAGGCCCGCCAGGTACTGTAGT